CCTCCAGCCTGGCCCAGAGCCCCCTCCCGTCAGTCCTGGCTCTGAGGGAAGTTCCCCTTTCCCCTCACAGCTGTTCTCCCCGCAGCTGGGCCCGGGCTGCCTTGCAGGCATTGCTCTGTAAGCTCTAGCGTACAGAGTTCATTGCTCAGTGTTGTCTAACAGTGCCTGGCGGGGGTCACAGAGGTCCTCTAAATGAGCCTTTGCTGCTTTCTTTTCAGGGGGCTTTAGAAAGGATCGGTTGCAGCCTAAAGATCAGCCAAGCCTGAGGTATTTTTGCTTCTGGTTTCAGACTTAATGTTTCTCTAAATAAAAAAATTAATGTGTAATATATAGCTGCATCTAGTTTGTACCTTGTGATACTTTGTACTGAAAGGGGAAGTTTTTGTCTGGGGCATTAATCCAACCATAATCTGAAATGATGCTTAAATCTGAACAGAATTATGTTTTTAAGGGTTTGGGTGAGAGGCCCAGATGTTCCTGGCCTTAAAAGAGATAATCCTTGTTCTTATTTCAAACAGGCGTGAGGCAATCGGCCACCAGGAGGGTGACAATGAGCTCCGGACAACTCCAGAGTTCAGAGCACACGTTGCAAAGAAACTGGGGACCATGCTAGACAGGTATGCAAGGCTTGAAACCTGTGTTCTGTGGGTCAGTGACACTGATGTGTTTGTGTGCTAAACCCAGGAAATTCAACATCTTGTCTCCTTCGTGCCTGAATTAAGTACAAGCTTCCAATATTCTGTGACCTAACCTTGCTGATGCGCTGTGCCCATCTGGTCAAAACTCTCTGTGCAGCACTGCTTGTCTCCTATTTGCCTCTGTGGTGAACATCTTGTGGGGAAAAAAGAGACTTCCATCATGTAAAGGCTGGCAGGAGAATCTTTGCTTTGTTCTTACAACCTACACCAGTGCCTGATTCGGGGCTGTGCTGGCAAAGTGCCTGGTGCTGGGCTGCCACTCTCTCTGTTGTGCAAGTATGGCCCTGGAGAACTGGAATTCCTGCTGTTCAGAGCTGGCTTTAGAAATGCTGGTTTTAAACTGTTCTTGTGGCTTGCACTGCTGAGGAGAGAGGGCCTGGTCTGCTCTGGAAACAGGAGCTGATCTATGCAACATCTCCCTCTAGTCTTGTTTCCCAGAAATACCCAGCTGTAGCTCAGTTTGCTCGAACCTGTGTGAGATCTGACTGGGGTTTTCTGTTTAGTTTCATCACTGTCTTGAAGGACTCTTCAGGACCATCCCAGACTTCACTGGCACAGTCTGACTCTGAGGATGATGGTGAGTTCCAGGCTCAGCCATTGTGGCTGTTTGTGATTGTTAACTGCTGTCAGGTGGGGTGGATCCTGTCCATCACCAGCTGTACCTCCAAGTGACAAATAAACATTTGCACTGAAATAATTCCTGGTGCTGTCTGTGAGGGCTGTTACTCTGCAGCTCTCACCTCTGTGCCCCAAGTCCTCCCAAATAATTGCTGTCAAGCACTGTGGAAGTACATAAACAGCACTGAGCCTTCCAGGGAAACAGCAGTTGATTGCTTCCCCCTCTGTTTTATATTCTGCCTAAAACCTCCCTTTCCACACTTCAGGTTTTCGCCTCTTCTCTTCCTCTGTCCCTGGAGACTGTGGGAAGCCAGAGCCTTGCCCTGCAGCGAGGACGAGGAGGCCAGTTAGCTCCAGGTGAGGTGCTGAAGGCTTCATCCTACATTTCAGAGGCAGCTGGGACTCCCACAAGGGAATAGGAAGCTGAAGAGCTTGACAAGTGTGTATTTATGACTGCTATATTTGACTAGACCAGAATTTTTTTCTTTTTTAATGCTGAGGAATGAGAAATGCTTGTGGGAGATTTTCTTTCCCCTCCTAGTGTGTGTAAAGAACACATTGCCTTCAGACTGGTTAAGTGCAACCTGTAGGTGTGGGAGCCCCAGAGCCATTGGGTGTTTGTTGTGTGTTCTCATCTCAGATTTCTCTGCTGTCCAAGTTTTGGGTGAATTCAAGGCAGAAGTGCACCACAACTTCCTTCCCTCTTGTTACCTTTGCAGTGACACTGACAGTGACCAAGAGTGGCAGAGGTGCCAGGAGGCTGCTGTGTCAGCTGCAGATATTCTGAAGCAAAGTGCTTTCCCTGCATTGTCCCAGGATCAGAGTCAGGGCTCTGTAGAGCCCAACCAAAAAAAGAAGAAGAAGAAGAAGAAAATTAGGAGAGAGAATAATATTCAAGAGAAAATAATAGACCCAGCAGAGTGTGACCAGATCTGCAAAGATTTGCCTCGGCTGGTGTCTGCAAATGGCCAGCAGGAGAGACAGAACAGCAATCACAGAGAGAACTCTGTGCTGCCAGGAGCTGTGAAGAAGAAAAAGAAGAAGAAGAAAAAAGAATGATGATTTTGCTCTGCAAACAGCAGGTGGTTGTGATGGGTGAAGGAAACTGAAAGAAAACCTAACAACAGGAGTTGCTGCAGATGAGGGAAAATTAATTGGCAAAGCGTCTGTTCTGCAAGCTCAGTGGCCTGAGAGACTAATTAAGGGACTTCCTGTGCTCCTGTGTCCCCGGGGAAGGGAACATTGTTCTCCTCACACAGCAGTTGGCTGTGCTGCTGCTTATGCAGGCCCAGTCTGAAAGGATTAAATGCTGTGCCAGACGTGCATGGCAGAGGGATGTGCTCAGAGCTGCATTCCTCCTGCTCTGCCCCTTCACATCTGAAACCCTTCTGCAGAAAGTGTGAGATGAATTCAATTTGGTTTACATGGCAACAGGTGATCAACTGCATTTTCTCTTTGCCTCCTTGTAGACTCCTAAGAATAGCTCCAGCCTGTGGGAGACTCATTTATCAAAAGCATCCTGTCAGAAATCAGGGCCCCTCATTTTTTCCCTGCAAACATCATAACAATCTGTTTTTGAAACCTGCTGTGTTACTAATCCCTCTGCAATCTGCACCTCTCCAGGAGCCCTGCACATGAGCAGTGTGTGGTGAGCTGATTTCAGGGTTGGTGTGAATGCATCCTACTGTTCCACTTGTCTCTGTTGATGTTTTTTTTCATGTATAGGGTTTTTTTATGGCATCAGTTTTTATTAAATTTTACTGCACTCTTGGACCTACTTAATTTGGAAGGTTTTGTACAACAGTGGCTTTCTTGCTGTATTCAGATTGTCCCCAGCAGAGATAGAGGTGGCTCAGGATGGCTTTTTGGTTGCTGGATGATCAATGCTATGAAATTCTACAGGACCGACTTAAGCATAATTTTAAAACCACCTTTCAATCCTTGTTTGGGCTGGTTAATGACTTTGTCTCCCTGAAATGCTGTGAGGTTTGGTAGTTTTCACTCTTTGTCTATTTATTCTTCACCTCTCAGTCTTTCAGGAGATAAACAGTGATAAATACTTATGTTTTTAAGATTCCTGGGTTTCAGGGAGTCCAACTTAGTGGATTCAGAAGTTCAGAAAGCCAGGTTAGAGAAACCAAAAGAGTGAAGTGTAGCTCTTTGAGCATGGGAAATTGTTGTAAGATTCTTGCTGCCTTTTAGTCAAGAAAACACAGCTGGCATCCGAAAATAGAAAAGCTAAGTAGAAACTTGGCTTATAATCTAACAGAAGGTGCCAGCAGAAGTTCCTTGCCTTATGTGCAGTTAAAACTTCAGTGTACTGAATTTTAAACCTGGGCTTTCAAATGCATGGTGGCCTAAACAATTTTTTTTGCTTTGGTTTGGGTTTATTTTTATGCTGACTGGAAATTAGATATATTTGCAACTGGTGTTCATGGGAAATTAGGAAATAATTCTAGGATAAAATCCCTCAGAGAATCTCCTTACTGAAATTGTTGATGGTATCTAGAGGAAGCTCTTATCCATGAAACTTTTCACAGACATTTGCAATTTTGATATTCCCAGATATGATAACTGCAGAGTTCACTGTTGGGCTTTTTGAGTTCTCCCTTCCAGTCTCAAGGTTTTTCATCCATTTCACAGGTAAAAGAGTAACTCAGTTTCAGTCACAGACAAAAACCTGTTAGCTGGGGCTGTTTTCATGTCTGGCTAATGATGTATCAGTGTTGTGGATATTGAGAGTAAACAGAGAGGAATAATTAGAAGAGGAATTACAAAAGTAGATCCTTGGGACTAAAACTCTTCACTTAGTGCAAGCAAGACTCTTAGAGCTCTGGGCAGTTATTTCCATACAGGAACTACAAATCAAGCCTGCATGGAAGCTGAGAATGAGCCGTGTTCTGCAAAATGAATCCAGGCTGAGTGTTTATAGAGAAAACTGAAGGAACCTCTGCTCTGTGTGGAGCATGGGAACCTCCCAGGGGCTGGGCAGTGTCAGGGGGCAGTGGGAAATGGCATCCTGCAAATCACTCAGCAAATCAGATGAGATTGAGAATCCACAGGGTCAATGCAGAGAACTGGAATCTCCTTGCAGCTGTTAAACTTTAATTTCTGCATTTAAAACAAAGCAGAGCTATATCAAAAACAACCAAGCCATTTCCACTAGGATAGCATGATTTTAGAGCAGGTCATTTTTAACTGAGAATGTTTGGTTTTTTGGTAGTTAATTAAGGATTTGTAGCTTGTCAGTGATCCCATACTGACAGGTTTGTGCCAAGCCATTCCCAAATCTGTGTCTTGGTTATTCTCATTGCAAAGTCAGTAACTTCCAAGGTTCTGTTATTTCTCATAGCTCCTGTTGGTGCTTCCTTGCAGCAAAGGAGGAGAGTGTTTAAAGGTGGTGTCCCTTCTTTGGCAGCCCAGCCTTGCTCTTTTCCACGTGATTTATCCTGGTGCTGACAGGTTCATACAGGCCCAGCTTGATAAAAACTGAGTGAATTAAAGTCCCATCCACATCCTGGCACTGTTGGGATTCCTTCCTGTGCAGCCATAAAAGGATGTCTGGCCATTCTGAGCTGGCTGCTAGGGTTCAGGTTTCCTGGGGTATTTTTTTGTGGGGGTGGCAGTGGATTTCAGCAGTGCCAGCAGCATCTTTCCATTTTTCTGTCTTGAGCCTGAGACGTTTTCTCTCCTGGAGGCAGCTGAGCAGGGGTTGGTGTGAGGCTGGAGTTGCACCCGGCAGGTTGGCTGTGGCAGTCGCTCAGGAGCTGCTGCTGGTGGTTACTGGGAGGAAGATGCCATCTGTGTGGAGATGAAGGTCTCAATGGCGTTGTGAGTGGATGGCAGCAGCTGGCTGTGGCTGCTGGTGGAGTCAGAGCTTTGGTACAGCACCAGGCTGCTGGAGGACACTGCCAAAGGGACAGGCAGAAGTCAATTGCAGATTCTCACCAGTGCCCTTATTGCATGTACACCCCGTTTGCAGCATGGCTGTGCTCTCCTGGCTCAGGGGCATAACTGCTTTTGTCTGTGTGTTTTGTGTGCTGCTGAATCCCTGCCTTGGGTCCACAGCCAGCCTGAAAACATTGAGGGCAGCAATCTCCAGAGAGTTCAGTTCTAAGAATTCCTGCTGGTGTCCTAGTTCTCCTCTTAGAACTGGAAAGACCCAATTGGAGTCTTCATGAGGGAGACTTGGGCTTCTCAGCCCTGAAAACTGCCCACAGGACTGGGTACTCATTGGCACTGATTGTTGTTGATATTTTTTAAGGTATTTGCCTTTCTGAAGTGGCCAATTTCCACAGTCTGGCCTTACACAGACTCTGCTCTGAATCTTTTCCTTGTGTTGACTTTTCAAACCCCTCAGGATGTGGCAGAGCCAATTTAAGGAATTGAGAGCCCCAACTACCATTTTCTAACTGGATTTTACAGCGTTGGCAAGAAAAACTAGGCAATACATGGCTTAGGAGCCACAACAGTGGCTGCTGCTCTTACCAGCAGGGCTCGAGGTGAGGCGTGGGCCTGGCTGAAGGTGCTGGATTGTTGTGTCTTGGCTCTGTAGATGGATTGTTGGTGCCTGTGACACTGGTGTGTGCATCCCAGACTCGGTGTGGGTCTCTGAGTCAGGTGTGAATGCCTGGAGAAAAGAGAGTTAATAGTGCCTGGCTTCTCCATGCCTTCTAACAGCTGTGGGAAAAGCACTGAGCAGGTTCTGGGGAGGTGAAATCCTCCTGGATGATGCAGTGAAGAGCTTGCTCTGGTGCCTGCAGTGCTGCAGCTGGGCCCAGCAGGGCCAGGAGATGAGAAACAAGCTTCTGCTGGGATGGCACAGACACACCCAAAAGCTCTTTGGCATGCAGGGAGCTGCCTGCAGGCTGGTGCAGCTCTCAGGAGGGGAACAGAGGCTAAAGAAAGGCTGTTACCTGTTTAGTTGGTGTCAGGTTGGTCAGGGCACTGAGATTGGCTGTGTCTGTTATCACCATGGTTTGTGGTAAGAGGCCTGCGTGTGTGTATTGAGTCACTTCTGATTTGGGGCCATAGAGAGCTGTACAGGAAAGAAAACAACATCATGTGGGTGCTGGAGCTTTGGCTGAGCTGTTCTCCTCGTGCAGTGGGACCTGCTGTCTGTCTCCAAAATGCTGGGGGTGGAGGGACAGAGAGATAAATGCAATAAAAATAATTTCATAATTAGAGCAACAATAACAGAGGAGGAAAACAGAGTGCTGTAAGCCCAAGGACCCAGCAAATGCACTGAAGGAACAGTGCCTTTATTTTTGGTTACTTGAGCAAATGAGTTCATGTTCTTACCGTGAGGGTTCTGGATCTGAGCCATGGTGGCCATGAAGGGGCTCTGGTTGATGTGGCTCTGCACCTGCTGCATGAGGGGCTGCTGGTAGGATGGGTGCAGTTGCTGGGAGAACTGAACAGGCTGCAGGGTAGTGAGGCTGCTCCCCATGCTGTTTATCACAGGAACACTCTGGGGCTGGGTTGAGGCCAGGCCTGGAAAACAAGGACTGATGCCAATGATGTCCCACACTGCAGGAGTGGGGCTGCTCTGCAATGGGGGCATCTCAAACAGCCATTGGGGCAGCCTGTCCCTGCAGGGTGGTTTGAGATCCTGCTTTTCAGCTGTTCCCTTGGTTGTCTGTGATTAAGGATAGGTTTCATGTGAGAGTGAAGTGGAAATGCCCAAAAACTGCACAAACCCATCTCTGGTTTCCAGTGGTTGTTCCTGTCTACATTCTTGTGTTCCAGTATAGTTTCTTTTCCAGTTTAGTGATCACCAGGGAGGCCTTGCTCAAAAGTAAATTCAGAGCATTACCTCAGTGCCCAGTTAATTTACTCTTTTTATTTTATGAAACTCTTGGCAACACAGACAACTAGGCTGTGGCTGTCCAGCCATGTGGAATGGAGTTTCAACTCTTTTTGCCAGGGCTGCCAGATTAAGGAATTTGAGTCAGAGAGAGCTAGAAGGTTTCACACATTACTGCCCATTTCCCACAACTGTCCAGACCCTGTAAATCAGCAGGTCTCTCCTGCACTCCACTTTTTGGTTTTGTTGTTGTTGGTTTTTTTTTTTTTTGGTTTTTTTTTTTTTTGTTTGCACAGAATTCAAATCCATATCACAATCTTGGGAAGAAATGGAAATTAGTTCACAGCTGTCACCACGGAACAAAACAAGGCCTCTTTCTTCCTTGAAAGAAAGTGTAAGAGAAGAGTATGCACTTTATTTTCCTTTCCTCTAATGAGATGCACTTTGGCAGTAGACTAGTCTTGGAATGAAAAGAAATCTCATAAAAGTCCAGAAAAGCTGTCAAAGTGAAAAATATAAAAAAATAGTAATTACTGCTGTGGATTCCAAAGGCATATGCTGCTCTTTGCAGGAAGTGGTGGAACAGGATGTTTTGTCTTTCAAGCACTATGAACATGCTTTCATTTCCATCATTTTAAGGAAGTATTATATTTATATTTGGAAAGATGAAGAGCAGCAAACCAAAACATTGGCATAGCAATAGATTACTCTTAAAACGTGGGGTTTGTGTGTAACTTAATTCTACCATGAACAAGGAACATCTGTCCTTAATCCACTGGTACTCGCCAGCAGTGCTGCTGATCTTAGGTGACAATTTCCTCGGGTTTGTATCACTGCCAGCTCAGTGCTAGGGCTTTGAGGATGGGGCAGGTGATGGTGACAAGGAGGGACACCTGTGGCTGTGCAGGAATCAGCCCTGCAGCCTCCACTCACCGATCACCAGCGTGGAGGCTCCGGTGTTGGTGAAGGCGGGCGCCAGGGACGGCGCCTCGCCCGCCCCGATGGCCATCACCCCCGGCAGCGAGGCCATGATCAGGTTCTGGGTCTGCTGGCTCAGCGTGTGGGGGCTTTGCTCCAGGCTGTGCAGGGCAGTCAGGGTGCTGACAGGAGGGAGGGTTCCTCCAGGAGCTGAGACCTGTGGGAAAGGAGAACCCTGAACGTGCCACCTGCGGCAGGCGGGTCCCAAAGCTGTGACAAAAACACCTTTCTTCCTGCTCCTCACTGGAAAGGCTTCACATATCCTTGTCTGCAGCTCCTGTGTGCTCATCATTAACTCCCACAGGTCAGCTGTTGGCATACTAAGAGTAAATCCCTCCTGGTTTAGTTCTTTCACATTTAAGAAATTGTAACAATGAGATTAAGCCCACTGCATTCTCTATAGGGAAAGATCATCTTCTGTTTCATTGCTGAGGGCAGAAGGAGAAGCTCAGAGAAATTAAGAGGCTCAGGTAACTTCACATGGTAATTTTAGTAGCAGAGTTTAGCATGGAATCCAGGAGTTCCTATTTTCTTTAGGGGTCTGTAGTCATAGTATTGTGGAAGACCAAAAAAGCATTCTAGTGATTTGGCTGATAGAGAAAGTTAAATGCCTTATATTATACTTCTTTTCTCTCCCCTCAGACAAACAGCTGTAAGGAATCTTTAGTGAGAATAAGCACCAAGAGGTTAAACAGTGGGACAAGCCACCTTGATATCACTTTTAGAACACAGACATAGAAGATTTTCAGGACCTCGTGAAAGACTTATTTTCTTCAGCAAGAGACCAGAAAGCCAGCAAAGTGAGTGACTGATGAGATTTAAATCATACTTATTTTTAGCAACCTTAACTTTGCCTCCAGCCAGCCTGTGCTAATGCAAACTTCTGCTGACTGTTTCTCTGAAAACAAGGGAACATGTGCAGACTGAGAATGATCAGTCATGTAGCTCTGATGCTTCTTTGTTAATGATGTGGGAAAAGGTCTGGTCAGATCTCAGAGGGAAATTGGCTTTGAGGAGGCAATCTAATTATCCAGTACATGTCTGCATCCAGGCTGTTTGGCTTCATTTTTACAGGTAAGCTAGATGTAAGTATGGGTCTGGCCAACTGGTCTTACCAACTCTTAGGATGGGTGGAGTCCAAATAAGAGTTAGAGATGGGATGAGAATCTCTCTGGGAAGGAGAGAATGAGGTTTCCTGGGAAGAAGGAAATCTTGTCATACCTCGAGTGCTGTGTTTCCAGAACAGACTGTTTTAATTACTGATAAGGAAATGTCTTCTTGCTCTCATGGTCTAATAGCTGCCCTTACCACAGTCTAGAGGGCACATATTGGTCTTACATGGTCAGTGCAGAGTGGCTCTAATATATCATATTGTCACATAACAGGTTATGTAACAATATGTTACATATGACTATGTAACACAAGCTGGGTTTAAGAACATTCTAGAAAAAAATACCCATGAATAATTAATATTATAACCACAGGCAGGTGGCCTGGCATGTCCCAGTCAGCAGAACAGGAGTGTCCATCTCTTACCAGCTTAGTGTCTGTGCTCAGCAGGTTCTGGCTGGGCTCCAGCCCAGGGGGAGACACCTGGTGCAGGATGGTCTGGGTGGTCACCATGGAGCTGTTCCCGTGGTGGTTGCTGCTGGAGGACTCTGCCTCACTGGCTGGCTGCTGGTTGTACCTCACTCCTGCATCACAACAGGAGGAAAACTGCTTGTCACAAGTGAGAAACTGAGAAACTTAGGCAGGCACTAAAATCAGTTTCCTCTGCAGGCACTTGGCACCGGATATTTGGGCAGCTACTTAATGGTCAGTAGGGGAACCAGAAGAGCAGGCACTCACACACTGCCCTGACTTTGCCCTGTAATTTGGTGTAGCTGCTTCCTCAAACACTGACTGTGAGAGCCAGGGAGCAGGAACCCCCCCTCTGGATGTGGCTGTAGAGAGGACTCTTGGTGAGATCCTCTCTTCCCAGAGTAAGAACAACCCCCAGCTCTGGCCCATGAAGCTGGCAGAGCTGTGCTCTTTGTGGATGGAGAATGACTTTTCCTCATGCCTCAAAACTGTCACAGAGTCTGAGGGCTGGCATTGGAAGGAGTAAGGGGCACACATGACTGGAAGGGCATGGAACTGACTTCTGATGGGCAGTGATGGCTCCTGGAACACAACTTTGGGGTTGATGCCTGCTAGCTGGGAGGCTTCACAGTGAGTGAGAAGCTTTGGCTGTGAGTTTTGTTACTGAATTTTATCTCCCTTGACATTCCAGCCACTCTCCTCACCCAGAAACACGGTCCTTTTGTCACCTTTGCTCTTCCCCTGTAGCAAATCTGCTTTTTCTGTTTGTAGATTCATTTCCTAAGGGTCTGAACTTGGGAGACAGTCTGGGTGACAGAGTTTGGGGAGGTTGAGCTCTCTTGCAGATCTCGCCCTGGCTGTTCCTTACCGTGGACTTTGCTGGGCGAGAGCGCGGGCGGGGGCTGCAGGGAGGAGGAGCTGTGCGGGGTGAGGGGCGGGCCCGGGGCCGGCTGCGGGCCGCTGAAGGTGTCCATGGCCAGCTTGTGCCGGAAAGCCTCCTCCTTCCTGCGGTTGGCAAACCAGTTGTAAACTCTGACCTCTGTCACCAGGTTTGAGCCCAGTCCCTGGGCCTGAGATGGGGAAACACCTCTCTGAATACACTCTGCCCTGTGGGGAAAAGCACAAGAAGAGCCTTGCTGAGCTGGGCTTCTTCAGAGACACACTGTGCTCTGGTGCACTGTGTGGAAGGGTCCTGCAAGACCTGAGGCATTCCTTGTGCTCTGTGGACAAGGAATGATCGTTTGTGGCATTTAATGCAAGCATGGCTGGTGTCAGTGGTGCCACTCAGTGCTGTACCTTTGCTCTCTCTCAGTGGCACCAGCAAACACCAAGAATGCAGAGGGACCCTGCTGTGCCCCTCTTCCTCAAAGACACACACCCACCCTTACCTGTTGCACTCTTCCACCAGTGCCTCCCTCTCTTCTTTGCTGGGGTTTTTCTGCCTCTCATAGGCTTGGAACAGGATCTGTTGTGAGGCTGGACCCCACTTAAAGCGGTTTCTCCTTCCTTTCTTGGTGGGCAGGTCATCTCCCATGGGCTCATCTGTCAGGATACCCTGGCCAGCATGTGTGAATTCTGCAAGCACAAAGGGAAAAGGGAATTTTTTTCCTTGAAAACAATCAGGAGTAAGGACAAGCAGAATCCTTTATGACCCTGAGACAGGAGCAGTTGTTGCCATACTCACGCTGGGCCACCTCTCGCTGCTTCCGGACGTACCAGGTGTACAGGGCTGCCCTTTTTTGGGTCTTCATGGGAGTGCCCTTGTTGAGGTGTTGGGAGAGGTGGGATTGGTTCAGACCTGTGGTGTCCACCACCTCACGCTGAGGGATGTTGTGCTGCTGGAGGTAAGACTTCACCATCTTTGCTACTCGCCAGGGATCCTCTCTGGAAGGAACAGAAAACATTTCTCAGGGGAGAGAGATCAAACCCTGCTCTGAGCAGACCTGGGTTTCAAGGAAGTGCAGCAGCAGCTCCTGAGGGGCACTTGTCAGCCATCACCATCACGTTTGGTGAGGCCAGAGTGCTCATTGCCTGCAGGGAACAAAGCTGTTCCTCAGTGTGCTGCCTTGCTCAGTTCTGATTCTGTATGCAGGGTAAAACTGCATGACATTGGAGATAAAGTGCAAAAGATGTAGCAGTGGCTTCCTTTGAAGTGCTGTCTGTACACACTTAGGTCTGCCCTTAGGAGGAGACTCTGCTTACCAGGGGAATTTCCCAGTACACAGAGGCAACCTCTCTCTTCCCTTTCCCTACATTACTTTTCTTCTCTATCCCCCTCTCATTAAAGCAGATGGGGCAGATGTATTGAGTTTTCCAAGACAGATTGATTGTGATACTTGACTGAACTTGACTCATGCCCTGATTCTGGTCCAGGTTGGGTTGCCTTGCAGTGATTCAGCCAATGGAAACAGGCTGTCATTATACTGAGACATGACAGCTCTGTATGCATAAATATATGACAAATCATCCATATATGACAAATCATCCAGAATGATGTTCTTACACATCTGCTACGTGTTACTCAAACACATCGGTTCACACCTAGATCTATTCAGAGCTTCTAAATGCAATATAGAATCACTAATTCCTCCTATTGCTGCCCTCCCTTGGGTAACTGCTGAAGGAATAGAACTATGTGAGGCAAAACTTCAGGAAGAGTTTGGGATTTTATAATTGATGTGATCCTCTGGGTTTTATGATATCCACTTAGAATATCCATTAAGGTTCTTGAGGAAAATAGAGAAAACACAACTGTGACTTTATGTGTATTGATTTCACCCCAGCTGAAAGTCACAGTAGAAATAAAGATGTGAAATCCATCAGTCTAAATCCAAGCAGTGCCAGAGCACCTCTGCAGAACAGCTCCTGGCTCACTTTGAACAGGAGCATCCTTCTGTGTGAAATGTCTGCAGGAAATGGCTTGCAGTGCTGAAGGAAGACACTGGTGTCATATTCAACACCAGCATCAAAGGAGCAGTGGGGAGAAAAAAAGGTGCCTGGGATGGTGCAGAAACTGTCACAAGAGCACACATGTCTGAGCCAGGGCAAAAACTGTGCTGTTCATGGCTTTGTTGACTCAGGAGGTTGCTGGAGGCTGCACAGTGATAAGGAGGACAAAGTCCACACCTGTTCTCTCAGTACAAACACCCTTATCTCTGTTCCCCTGCAGCCCCTCTCCCAGGGCTGCCTAGTCCAAGGAGCAAGCTCCACAGCAGTCAAAGTGTGACACAAATGGTGTCGGTTACAGCTTTATGAAAACCTGCTTAAAATAAAACATTTGTTTCTCCTTTACATTGGAGCTATTGCCATAGAGGCTTCTGATTTTTAGCATCTTCCCTTAACTATATTTGTCTTTCAAAAACCACAACTTGAGCTGAATTTAAGAAAGTTTTTCTTTCCTCATGGTTGTTTTTGTTTGTTTGTTTCTTTCTTTTGTTTTTCCCTCCTGCTGCCTAAACCAGTCCCCTGCCTTTGTACTTGTGACAGTCTGGCCAGCACCTGCACCCTGTGATCATTGCCCAAGTCCCTGTTTAGAGGAGAAAAGCCTCTGACTGGGAAGCTGGTCTCTTTGATTTGAGTTCTGGCTCAGATGGGGGAGGAAGGTCTGTGTTGGCACTGATGGAAGCCTCTGTTATGTGTTAGTTCCTTTCTGCACCCCAGTCAAGTCAGTTTTGTCTCCCCTTTTGTTTTGTTGAGATCCTCATTTAGTGGCAGGGATAAACCAGTAAGTTCTGTGAGTCTCTTCTCACAGTGGTTAAAGACTTGTGGGTTTTGTCTTCTTTTAACTCAGCAGAGAGCTTTGTCATGCAAAATAGTGCAGGGAATCTTAGTTCAGTGTGATTTCCTAGGACAGCTGTGTGAAATCCTGGCTACTCTGCACATTGTCAAAGGCCAGTCTGCAAAACCAAACAGCAATACTTTGGGCCCAAGGCTGCACCACAGTGCAGGTGATGGCAGCCTGGCCAGCTGAGCCCTTGCTGAGATACACAGTTCCACCTGCACAGCCTCCATCACAGGCTGAGACATCAGAAGTTGAAACCTCTTCTCTTTCACTGGCTGTAAGAATATCGTTGACTGTCAGAGGGGAAGATTTCTTAACTGAGTTCTCCTGCTTGTTGTTATAGCCAAATCTCAATTGTTTCAGTGAGTCAGAACTCTCTATCTCCAAGACTGTCTTCTGCCTTTTAGTTTCCCCCTCTGCTCACATGCAAACTGTCTCCCCAAGGTCTCGTTCTCCAGGGTGTAATCTCTCTCCTGGTTGGTCTCACACAGGTAACTTTTACTTCCTTCTTCTGAAGTCTTGTTCTCCTGCTCTCAGTTGCTTATTGCCATGTGAGCATTGCCCTTCTCCATGGCTCATCCCCAGCACAGGGGCCAGGGTCCTCTCTCCATGTCAGCTTCCCATTTTCTTAGTTCTGAGGTCACTTTTTAAGGGCGTTTTCACCTCCCTTTTGTTACCTGAACAATAAGTAACCCAGGTAGTTAGTTATAAACTCAAAGGGAACAAGAGGCTGGTTGATAATTTATAGCAACATCTCAAATTTAAATGGAAAGTAAATATCAAGTTGTTAGCATTAAAGAAAACCCATTCCAGAGAGCTGGAGATGTAACATTCAGGGGACCTTCTCCCTCCTTCACTCTTCCTGACTTTTTATTTTTCCTTTGTTCTTTTCTTTCTTCTTCTCCTCCTCCTCCTTCGCTCTCTCTTCCCTACTTTCCTGTTCTGATTCTCAGGTGGGAGAAGCCTTCATTTCCCTGAGGTGGGTTCTGGGTTGCTGCTTTGGACCAGCCCCTGCTCAGGCAGAGGCTCAGAGCTGTGAAGTGCTCAGGACCATCCCCAGCCCTTTCCTCTGGAGCTGCTGCACACCTCAGTGCAGAGGCAAGGTAAGACCATCCATGCTGGCAGTGTTCCTTTCTGTTGAACTTGGCCTGGTTTGCCTCATCTTGGTTTATATGTGGAAATGAAAGGGGTGTGGCAGCTTCATCTCCAGATTCCCCAACTAGAGCTGTTCTAAGCAGGGGGAAAGACTGGACCTTTGTCATTATAGATCTTTGTTTTCTTTTTTCCTCCTGGACAGCGTGCTTTTATCCCTCCCTCCAGGGGAAATCTGTTGCTTATCTCAATTTCTCTCTTTCCTGGTGGAATTTCAGCCCTTGCCCTCCAGGTGGATTGTCACTATACCTCTCTTCATTTGCTTTACCTGCAGTAGTTTGATCCCTTCCCCCAAGGCTGCCTCCTTCTTGCTTTATATTCTGGGAGTTTCTCCTCACAGCTCTACCTCCCTACTGAGTCATTTATTTCTTATCATAGATGCAATTTGTTTTGTGTGTGGATTGATATGGAAAGAATGTTTTTATTCAAACTGTAAATCTATGGGAGATCAGTGAGACATATGAAAGGACAAAATGAAATTATGTTAATTCTCCACTAGAGAAACTTTTATCTGAACTGCTTTTAGCATATTTTCACTGCAGGGACAAAATCTAATCAACACCCATGGGTGCACCCAATCCTGTGGGTGTATCTTCTCTGTTCTACTCAGCTTTGACCAGAGTTGTTCAAACTGGTTTCAGCCTCAGTGTTCTTGTGAAGACATAGTTGGTCTCTTGGTGCTGTCAATTTTTTCTCTTTCCAGCTCCTGGAAAGCCTAATAATGGACACTTTTCCTGATTCTACTTTATAAAGCAATGGCTTTATAAGCAGGGGCTGCAGTTAGCACAAAGACTTTCCTGTATCAGCAATAGCTGCCCACCAGTCAATCTCTCTGTTAAAATTTGGTCTGCAGACCAGGAATTGTTAATAATGCCCAAAGAGGCTTCTGTCCATGGGGAGAATTGCCTCCATCTGGTTTCTGCATTTGAAACCCTTGTGTAGATGGTGAAGTAGTTCTGCAAGCAGTGACCTTTAGCTGGGAATCCCTGGGCATGGAGATTCTTGCCTGACTTTCTTTTTCTATTGCTTTCTTTTTCTATTTCTACCACAGACTGTTCTGCCCTGCTTTACAATATTTACAGTACTCTCTTAAGGACATTGCTTTAAGGCTTCTATTAATGGAAAGGTTTGATCTTAATACCAAAAAATGTTTATTAGTAGGTAAGAACTTCTTAGGTATTATCAACCCCTGCTACTGGTTCAGATGCTTTGAACAGATTTTTAGACACTCTGTTGATTTGATGAAAAATATGAAACATGTCAATGCAGGCTTCCTACTATTTTCATTTTAACTTGATTAATTTTGATCTATTAGAGACCTCCACTTGTAATCTTCTTCTGAAATTGAGGCTTCTGTGTTTTTATATTGTCATCAACAGCAGAAGTGAATTGCTCTGTCCTGTGGTGGGGAGATTGATGACAGAGATCCCTGATGTTTCAGAGCAAAGCCTTTGTAATTAAGAGCCAGTGTGAGGCTTAGGAGGTCCCTGTCCTTGCCCAGTCTCCTCTGTGCTGTCTCTGGGATTTAGGAAGGTCCTAGAATTTGTCTGTACCTCAGTTTCCATTTGTGAAATGGAAATGCTGCTCAGCAGACTGACTGTCAGAAAGTGTGAATGGAAGAGAGGTAAGACTTGTGGTGAGGCTGGTAAGCACAGGGAAGACTGGCAGCAAGATCCTAGAAAGGCAGGGAGGATCAGAAGCCAGAAATGGTTCTGAAGGGAGGGTGACAGGGAGGAATTGCCTCCATCCTGTTCTTAGATCACAGCAGATGTCACTTCAGTCCTGCTTCACCCACCCATTAGAGAAAAAGGGACAAAGCCAGGGAGTCTTCCTCAACCTCCATGGCTTCCTTTCTGGAGAGATACTTGACAAACCATCAAAAGTTAATGATCAAAAAGCTTATCAGCGTATTTTCATCTATAAATTTATAAGACAAAAGAGAAATAATAAAGCCATTGGATAATTAGTAACTAGCCAGGGCCCGCCCGGTGCCACTGGGCTCAAACTGCCCCAAGACCTGCACGCAGACTCAGGAGGATGGGAAGGAGACAAGGATGGGGGGAAGAAAAAGAGTGGGAGGCAGAGAGAGAATCAGCCAAGGAGACAACAAAATGGGAGCAGAAACAATGGTGAGAAGGGAAATAGGTGAAAAGAATCTGAAAGATGTAAAGGAAGTAGAGAAAACTTAAAGATGTGGAAGAGCTGGAAGTGCAGAAGAAATGAGACATATTGGGCCAGGAAGAAGACAGAATTATTGGGAATGCTTTTCCACACAGGTAAGAGCTGATTCAGTGAATTTTCCTCTCATGGGTTCTGCAGAATCATCAACTCCCAGTCTGCCAGGGAGCTTTCTTTTAAGTATTTACAGGGAATGCTAACTCTTGTCATGCTCTTTTCTTAGCTCTGGCCTTTTGTGGCGGGATTTGATGTTTGCTTCTGCTGTTACGTTTTCAGTGCTTTCCTTGCACATGAAAGAGGGTGATCAGAAAGCCTGAGAAATTCCCTAGCTGGATATTTAGTGAAGATTTTGGGTGCAGGATGTTGCTGCACCTCTGTCTTCTATCAGCTTGTCATTTCAAAATAGTCATTCCCTAAACCAGTCAGGAATCTTGTGATGGATGGGAGGATGGGCCTGATCCTTGCTTGACAAACCTCTTGGGTCTCCCATGGGGATTGTATCCCAGTGAGAATCCCAAATGGGAAACTGAGTGAATGCTTCTCTGGGTCTATTGAGAGGCTTATTGATTCAGGGAACTTTCCCTGTCTTTTGATCTCAAAAATGATTGTATGCAAAGGCAAATTTGTGTGGCAGCAAAGCCAGGCACTGTTGCTGTGTATGTACTTTGTAACTGTGACAGACGGTGGATGTAACTGGACAGACAGAAGCAGAGAGTTCTGTCCAGGTTTAACCTCTGCATATGTTTGCTGTGTGCTTTTTACAAGAAAAATCCCCACCAAAATCAGGGGACTTCCCACTCAGAAGAACAATAAGCACAAGGTCTGTTGATTTGGCTTTGGCCAATAATCTATAGCAAACCCCAGTGAAATTAACAATATAATTCGCCTTAAATACAGCAGGGAAATGTTACAACTTCACTGTATCATTCATACAAATATAGCACCAACTCAGAGTGACCAGGTTGGTTTTCTTTCTTCCTGATGACTGAAATTGTGAACTGTATTAAAAATTTCAATCCTAAACCCTAACATTCAGTCAAAGAGATGAGAGCTACACGGGCCTTGGACTATTCTGAAGCCTGATGCTATAACCATGTCAAATATGTAATCAGGCTCCATAGTTTCCCTAATGCATTTTAAGCAAGATTAAAGGAAAACCTGAACATTTATAGAGCACTTGGGGGCTGCTTGTCCTGGCATGGATGAAGACTGTCTCTGTGCAGCTAGATCAATTGTGAATACTAGGGACACTGAGGAGAAGGGGAAAGGAAAAGAGATTTAGAGGGAGAGTGCAGGAAAGCAGCAAAGAGGAGCAGTAAATCTGTCCTTACTGTAATAGTCTTTCCACCACAGCCTTCTGGTGAGCAGCCTCCTCAGGGCTCAAGTTTTCCAGCTCCTTCATTATCGGAGGGGTAAACTCCTCTCCATCATCGGAGGTTTCATCTTCTGACGCCCTGGAGTCGGCCATGCCGTTGGGGAGGTTGGGGATGTCGGGGCAGGGCTCCCCTTTCTCGCTCTGCAGGGCATTGATGGCGCGCTGGCTCTCGCTCTGCAGCCCGTAGGGCTCCGCTTCGCTCAGAGCCTTGATCAAGGTCTCCTTGGTCAGCCCCGACTCCAGCAGCGCTTCCAGCAGCTCCACTTGGAGATGGGTCAGCTTGGAGACCATGGTCTTCAGCCTGGTGTCTCTTGGCTTGGAATTTGGGGTTATCCTGCTTCCAGCTTCCCTACACCATGGTCCCGAGGTAACGCGCCCGACTGTCAGCAGAGTGGGCACAGCGCAGCCTCCCGCCTTTACACCCCCCAAAAAAAACAAAATACAAAATTGAGCCACTTCAGACCCCCCACGACTGTCCTGAGCCAGTGCTGATAAAGGGACCCTTGGCTATCTGTTTACATTGGAGCAAATGTAAATTCTCCAAGGTTCATATTTATCTGTGTGCTTTAGCAAGTTACTGAACTTTGGACTTCAGCACTGCCGCAGCAGTTCACAAAGTGCAGAGGGAGAGAAAGCAGGGGGAGGGGGAAAGGGAGGGAAGCAGGAGAGAGAAGGAGAGGAAAATGAAGGGATAAAAAATCTGCAGCATGGAAAAGTGAGTATGGAAAGAACACGAGGAAGATGGGGATGGAGAAGCACAGCTCACTTCTGGCCCCGTTAGTTGTGGAGAAGGAAGGAGGTGGAGTACCCAAAAGGAGAAGCTGTGCCTGGCTGCCCATGGTTCAGGACAAGGTGCTGCTGTTGGAATATCAATATGAGAACCTGCTCAGAGCTCTGGCAGTGCTGAAGTACAGCCAGTGTCAGCCCTGCCAAAGGCTTTGGGGAGAGAAAGCCACACTGGCAGCTGTGCTGGTCTTTGTGCACCCCCAGCTGAGGGGCAGGTGACCACTGGCTTTATGTGAACCTCCCCAAAGCTCACAGGGTGTTCTGAAGCTCCAGCTGATTTCTGTGACAGAGCATGAAGATTTAAGTGACTTTTTAATTTCTGGCTTTGGCTGCTGGGTATCTTGATGTGCAAATACTAGTACTACCTCAATTTTACCTTGTTATGTTTATTGCCCAACTATGAGCAGGAGCAGTGTTCCCACATAATCTGGGGGATTGCAGGGCTTGCCCCTCTGAGCTTGTGATTCATGTGTTTGATAAAGGATAGCCCTGGGTGCTGGGCCATGCTCAAACCCTGCTCTATCATCAGCTGCCCTACTGCTCCTGATGGGTGCTGTGGGCAGGCTTGTGGCTCCCCTTTATCATCTGCCTCCATCCCTTCCTGGTACCAGCCCTGCTCTGAGGGCCTGCTCCCACCTGTTGGGTGATTTCCTAAAACATGATCCATGGCTTGGCCGGAACTGCTTAAAAGAATTCTCCAGGGATCTTTTTGACTAAATTCTCTTTTCTGGTCTGAAATTATACGAATGAATCGATCTACTTTGGGTGGCTAAATTAGAGAATAACTTGATGAGCACGTGTGGGCTCGATTGTCTCACACGAGTGACTCCTGGCAGGATGTAAAGCTGTTGTCTCAATGGAAGCTTGCCAGGGCAGCTGCCTGTGTCTGTACACTCCCATCAGCCTGAGCTAAACAGAGCCTGCTAGGGCTGTCCCCAGGCTGGGCAGTGTCCCAAGACAATGCTGCAGAGGACCTTGGCTCCTGTTTTCCCTCCTGTTTTCCCTGGTGGGCACCACTGGCCGAGCTCTGCAGGCTCCTGAGTCAGCAGCTGCGGGACAGAGTTCCTGCAGAGGGACCCTCCTCCCCCCGGCACAGGCGGGACTGGGACTCTGTTAACTCTTGCCTTTTCTTTCAGATCTGCTCCGTGCCCAGAGCACCGCGTCCCCTCCCTGCAGGGCGTTAACAAAGCTCTAATGGATCCTGACGACTTTGTGTGGCTGAAAACGAATGAGAATCCTGAGTCCATGTAAAAACATTTGTTTGAAGAAATGTTCATTAATGTAAAGACAACTTCAGCTTCTAAAGATGTTTTTGGGGTCATACTCTTAATAAAGAATTGTGTTGGTTTTGCACCCATCACAAGAGCATTTAAAGAATGGTGAGCATCTTTGGCATTGTCCTGCCAGTGTTGATACTATTTCCATGCATTTTATTTGTTATTACAGTTTTCCTTTATTCCCTCCCCTCAGGTAGACATGACAACATTAGTGGCTGATAACAGTAATTTCCAATTGTAATTACAGTATCCAACCATGACATACAGTTTCTGCATGATATGTCCTTATAATTCCAGGATTTTGCAAACAGACACAGCAGATTGTGGAGCTCTTGCAATATGTGACAGAGGAGATGCTGTCATTGTGTGTTACTTTTTTCTGCTTCTCTTTGGCATGGTGATCTCTTTTACATAAACCAAGGTGGAAAATATTAACACTGTTCTTATTAAAAGGATTGTCCATATTCTGTTGGTATTAAACCTACTGAATGTTTGAGGGCTGATGGGGAAGTTTAAACAAAGAACAGCAATATTTGTCAGTGGAAGCTGTAAAGAGAAGAAAGCATAACAACCAGTTATGTCTATATTGTGTGGTTTCAAGGATTCCTTATGCACCCAGAAGTCCTGATGCTGCTGCTGCTGTTGCCTTGAGGATCTTCAGCTGTAGAAGCTTTTTTGAGACCAGTGACCTTTGAAGTCTATAAAACCAGAAATGCACATCTGTTTGTATGATAGGACCTCCCTGAACGCTACAACTGGATGCCATGTGGAGAATGCTTAGCGGAACAAGGAAACATTTCAAATGCTGAGGAGGAGGTAAATATTCTCCATCACTTTATCATGAAAGGATTTTTCCCTTGGTCTATTGGAATTGTCCATTTTAAACTATAGGAGCCTGGACAATTAGCAAAAAACCAAATAAACTTACCCACTTTCATCTTTCCATTCATTGGAACCTGCCAGGCTGTGCTAGTGATTAGCTCAGCCCCACTTCAGAGCCTCAGTGCAGGAAAACCAGTGAGCTTTTCAGTGTTTCTTAAATGTTAGAAATGTTAGTGGTCAGACTGAAAGGGATTCCTGTTGTGAATTAGCCAGCATCCCTATCCTATAGCCTGGCACTAAGGATTGCAATATCACATTTCTCAGATTTTATTACAAGTGCAGTTCTGAGGTGATGAGAGAACAGCAGAGGCCAAGGGTGGAAGCTAGATTATAGTTTTATTGGAGGAAGAGCTCAGTTGCAGAGTGCCATAATCAGAAAATGTTCTTCTGTAGCTGAATTGTACTCAGGGATTGTGCCTTGAGGATGAATATTTGAAATAAAGGGACTTGTGTTTCCTATATCCATTTTTATCTATTACCAGTGCTTACTCTATGTTGATTTCCTTAATTGTAACCATTTCCAGGTTACAACTGATTGATTCTCAAGTCACTCTGATTAAAATGATCTTGGGCATTGTAACAAGGGAAACTTAAAGTTTGAAGACACCAAGAGATACCTGCTTGTTTTTCTCATGTTTGCAGTATTTGGTTTTGTATTAATTGTTCCAAAGTAATTCTCTTCTCCCCTAATAAAGTGAGTGAATTACTTAACACTGAAAACACTGCATGAAAGTATGAATGGGTGCACAACAGGAACATTATTCTGATTTTACATGTACTGGTCTGGATTCTGCTTATTGCACTAAATAAGGGCAAACCCAGAGTAAGGGACTGCAGAGACCTGTGAACCTCATGGAAGGCAGAATAGACTCCCAAACCCTCACTCCTGTATCAACACCATTTTTACCCCTGATGTTTTAATGTACTGAATTATATCTGTTATGAAGTGTACATGATGAAAAATACAGTAATTTGCTGGTACAATGTAGATTGAAGGAGCATACAGAGAAGGAAAAAAAGCCTAAATATATTTGTAATAAAAGTGCTGCTAGAGGGAGCCCATATAATTCCCTGAATAGGGTGGTAAAATTGCCATTGGCAAATGAAACGCAGAGAAATGGTTCTTTTAACAATTCTTTACCATTTTACTGTTCTTCCTGCTGGGACTGATAAATGCTTTACTGGCCTGAATGACATTAACATAATCCCCTCCTTGAAATGTGAGAGCTATTATGATAATTTTCACCCTTATTTCTGTTATTGGGGGGAAAAAAGCTACATGAGCACCAAAACTGATTATTATTTGTGCATTGGGAGCTTAGTCCCAAAAGAAACACAGGAGTGTGAAAAATCTGAGATAATTGTCATTTATACTTTGTTTTCACAGGCTTGGATTTCAGCTATTTGTGCAAACCCTGAGTATCTCAGTGGGGCAGGACTTGCTTGAATACATGTTTTAATGTTTCCAATATATACCTAGTAAGGTTCTAATGTAGTAGTCTTTGGTGTAAATATGTGAGTATAATTGGAAAATGGGATTTTACTGAGAAGGAAGCTGGGGATGCAGAGCTTGGAGTTGTGGTAAATCCATGGGGCAAATCGGTTTAAATTCCAAACTTGCTCTACACATTCCTCTGCCTGTATGTGGAAACAGGACTGGGTCCTCCTTCCCAGTCATCTTCATTTTCTCCCTCCTCTAATTCCCAGTTTCTGCCATCAGGGTGAGGGTGGAGATCGGGAGCAGCCCTGGCGCTGGGTTATGAAGGAGTTTCCCACTAGGTGGTAGTGAAGAGAACCGTGTCACACATGGTCACTGCACCTTGTAATTAGGTTTGTAAAGGGGAATCCCACAAGGAGCTGACAAGCAAATAGCCTGGTGTAGCTCCCAGCTGTACAGTCAGAAGTGGATCTCTTGATTTTGGGGTTTTTTCCTTCCTTTTCTGCTCCTGTCCATGCTATTTGTTCCTTCCTGAACAAAGCATGGCTGACAATTCTACTGTCGTGTCCTTTCCTGAAGGGTGGAGTGTCTACATGAAGCTCCTCTGGTTCTTTCCACCTCCATTACAGCAGAAGCAAGACATGGTTAGCTAAATGTCATCTGCTGACATTTAAACAATTTGGAGGTGAGGACTCTTTGTAGCCAGTACTTTCATCTGATTTTTCTCTACCATGCTTGCCTCTGGGAGCTGCCCTTCCAAATACAAAAATAATTTTAGAAATGGTTTTGTTTGCTGCTCGTTCTGAAATACCTTGACAGGTCTAAGTAAAGCATCAGTCTACATCAAAGGTTCCAGGCAGAACAGGTACTCTGGGAGGACTTTGTAATGTCACAGTAAACTGTCACTGAAATTCAGACTAAAGCTCTCTTGTAGGTCCAAAGAGAGACTGTACAAAAGATACACTGAGAAAATTATCTGAGGAATGCAAGCAGTGCTCCAGTTTGCAGTTGAGAGTAGATGCTGGGTCTGTAGGGAGGAATAAATTTCTCCTGTGGATTCATCCCACTGCTATCCTGTAATGATAGAGCAAGCTTGCAAAATCATTTAATAGTCTAGTCACAAAGCCTGAGATGCTGGAAAGAAATTATACTTTAATTGCTCATCAGCTATAAATCATTTGTGCCAAATTAATGTGCTGGAAATTTTGCAAGACTGAGAAACTGGAAGCTATTTCAATATGAACACAAAGCAGGGATATTGTTTCACAGATACCAATATCAGTTTTACATCCTTCTTCTCAGCAAAAAGAAAATTAGGAAAGGCTCTTTAGAATCAAGATAAGGCTGAAAACTGATTTATCTTTCCCTGCATTGATTTAAAAGGACTGAAATGTCCTTTTTAATTCTTATATTTACTCTGTTATCATCAATGAAAATGGTAGCACCAACAGGCATTCCAGGCATTCAGGTTTGCACCACAGCAGAGTGATGATTCCAAATTATTTATTTATTGTCTAAGCATTTCTGCAGGTCTTTCTGCTGTGCTGAGGAGAGCAAAAGCAAGGAACTTATCCATTGTGCAAATCCTACCCAAAGCCTGAGATTTTTGGTTTTTAGACAGGGGATATGTGTATGTGGGAACACCAGAGTTTCCCCCCAAACTCTCAGGGTGTTTTTCCCCCCAAGCAGGGCAGGAAGTTTCTCCAGCTGGGAGGAAAGTTGAGCATTCCCCACCCCCTGATCCCTGCAGCACCCCCAGTGCCAGGACTGAGCCCAGCAGGGATCTGTGACCCCGTCGGGCACTTGGAGCGTTTCCACCTCTCAGCTGATAAATCCGATTCTGCAGCAGATTTAGAAGTGGGTAAAGTGCTGATTATGTGGGGAGCTCTAAGGTCATTCCTGTCCACAAGGCCAAAGGGCTGGGAAAACACTGAGGGTTTGGATGCTGAAGTGACACAACCTGCATCACTTGTTTTGAAAGCAAAAAGAGACAGGGGGAGACACCCTCAGAGTCCAGCACCATGTTAATAAAAGCCTTGTTTAACTGGAGCACAGGAGTCCCAGCCCTTCCCTCCACCAGAACCAAGTGCGTCTGTGTTGCACGTGCAGCATCTTCCTGCTGCAGCTCCCCAAAATTTCAGGGTTTTTTGCAGTTTCCTGTGTATTGACTGATGAGCTGAGCTAGCAGGAATGAAGTGACCTGCCCAGTATTACACAGCAACTGGTGACACAACAAAGGTGATCAGAGACGTTCCTTACTTGAAGTCCTCTGTCATGACCACACACCAGCCTAAGGTTTTCCCATTCGAGAGAATAAATGAGATAGACAACATGAAAATATTTTATTCAATCCACTAATAGGAACAAACAAGAGTGTGGTTCCAAATTTCAGAGGCATCTGGCATCCCTGTAGATGCAATGAGAACGTCCCAATGTCCCATTAGTTTTTGGAAGATTTAAATACAATTCTATCAAGGCACAGAATTTCTTCATACTTGTTTTTAAAACAAATACCTATTTTTACCAGCCCCTAGCATTTGTTCTCCTATTTATATTTGATGCAGTTACATCACCTCTAGCTGTATGTTCAAACTGGCTGTTCTGAAAGGGACAATGAGTGGGAATGCACAGCTGGACTGGAACAATTGATCCAAGCTCTGCAAAGCCCCACTTGCACAAAATTGCTGCAAGTGAACTCCCAGGAGGTAAATAAGGATTACTCACGTGAGCAAACCCAGCAAAAAGCACTGGTCTTGCATTTGGCAGAAATGCAATGAAGGGCTGAGGGTTTGGCAGCAGAAACCACACCAATATCAACGCAGCAGTTTCTCTGCCTGAGACTCGCACAGCTTTAATATCAGCCTGGTGATAAAATGAAACACATGATTTTTATTTGGTCGAAGTATCCGGAATATTATTTTCCTTCCATTAAAAAAAACCCCACCAACATTTGAGCATTTGATCCTATTGATGCTCCTTGGTTTGAAAGATTCAAAAATACAGCAATCTCTAGGAACAGCTGTGCATGTGATGCATTAACAGCGCGGTTAGGAATTATTTTATCTGAACGGTGCATTTACCGCCCAGCCCGCGCCACAGCGCTCT